TCGTCGCCGGGCTTTTTGTTCTAGGTGCAATACCTATATCACTATGGACCATAATTGAGCACATGATCAATTACACCAATCCACTTCTTCAAAGACATATTATCAGGTTTGTCTGATTCTTGACGAGTTTCACTTCAGAATCTTGTGGATGGTTCCGATTTATGCTGCTGATGCGGTAAACGTCATATATATTATCTTGACACTTGACATTAGTGGTTGGCACTGATTTTCCCTTCATTTGCAATTTACTTTGACACGTTAAGAGAATGCTATGAAGCTTATGTCATTTACAACTTTCTTGCGTTTTTGCTTAATTATTTGAGGAGCGAGTTTCCTGACTTACGATGCGTTATTGAACAGAAGCCACAAATGAAACACTTGCCGCCGTTTTGTTTCTTAAGCTCTTGGAGAATGGGAAGGTAACGTCTATTATTCTTATCTTCACAGATTTTAGTTAATATTCCATTCTTATCATGCATGGTATAGATCGGCTATTTTAAGATAACTCTTGTATCTTTAAATAGTAGTTGTGGCGTTCTTTCTGACCCCGTCATGTCAAACAGCCAGTCACTTTGCAAATAAAATACTGTGACCGAAATGCTATGCCGAATATTCTTTTGATTGTGCATCTATGTGGAGTTTTGTTTATTCTACAAAATTTTCGTGATTGTAAATAACTCCGGAGTAATTTTTTCCTTAGAACGTATCCACATTTATTTATCTGTAAACTTTTCTTTAAATGGCAAACGTCTAAAGTTTTTGCCATGTTTTTACAATCTAAGATTCACGGGAGAGTAGTTGGAACCACTTGTTCAATCAACCTTTAACTGTGTATTCAGTCTTGATTTAATTCATTAGTTCGTATTATGGAATTCAATCCCCTTTTTCTTTTTGGTTTGGCTTCGACTACAACGACACTGCAAATACTTAGGGTACTCACGCCATTAACTCTGGTATCGCTTTCACTGCCCTCGTCGTTCATTATTTATGCACATATACCAGTTTCCTTCCTTAGTAATCTAAATAAATTTTAGAGGTTCATGTGGATATGGCTTGCTTCTCTTCCAGGGTCATTACTTCAAAAACGTATCCTTTGGTTTGGTTGATTTTCGTCTACTAGATTTCTACTTCTGGTTTCTCATCACTTTAGGTTCGCTGAACTTAGATCTGTTGCTTACGTTTTTTCTCTATAAATTATAAAGTGGTAAGGCTGATCTGTTTTCTAAACGTGTATACCTTTGGTCAGCTTACTTATTTTATGCATTACACAAATATTGTCCAATATGTGTATTTTCTTTCTTTAAATGAATATCCATTTTCAATCGCTGTCCTATCTAAATCTTACGTTTTGGAGACAATCATGACTTAGATTCGATTTGTAGTTTATTTTCGTCATAATTTGGCATCGAATGGGATGTTGTTGGTAACCCAATAATTTTATGATACTCCAATTGCTGTTAACTTATGGCAAAACTATCCAAACTTATCGTCAGTTTAACACCTAGGGCAAGAAAGATTGCAAGTAAATCCTCATGGTACTCAATAACGAAGCCAGGAAGATCTTTTATTGGTCTTTAGGTCTTTTATTGATGTTATGCTTCTTCGTCTGTGTATGATGATATCGTGTTTTAAAAGTAAAAAAAATGTTTAATTCACTGGTTAGTATTAAATAGACACAAGAAATACTTTTTAGCTATAATATCTGTAGAAATAACTAAGACTCGTGAACTGCAAACACGAGAGAACCAAGCTGGCTTTAGACCTGGTCGTGGCTGCATCGACCACATATTCACCATTCGTCAGGTTCTAGAACACAGGCATACTTATCGATGTCCGACAATGGTGGTCTTTCTTGACTTAAAAGCAGCATTTGACTCTATAGACCGCGAGATTCTGTGGCAGTGTCTGTCATTGAAAGGCGTACCCCAGAAGTACATAAACCTTGTAAAGGCTCTTTACTCGAACACTACCAATCGAGTGAGAGCTTATGGCGAACTGTCATCTACTTTTGCAACCTCAAGTGGTGTCCGTCAAGGCTGTCCACTTTCTCCATTTTTGTTTAACTTCATCATAGACCTATTGATGGAAATAACTTTCTCGTCGACTGAGTTCCCGGGTATTGATCTCCTACCAGGAGGTCCACTTATCGACTTAGAATACGCAGATGACATAGTCCTGTTTGGTGAAGACGCTGACAAAATGCAGAAGCGACCGTTACGACCAAGTTCGTGACCAAGCGTGTGCCAAGCGTTCGAAACCAATATATCGACTGAGTGCGTTGACAAGAGCATGGGTGATCAGGCCAGCTTTCGCCAAAGTTCACTGAAGTCGACGGAACCAAACGGAGATGGTCGAAGGCGTGGGCTCAGGAAACAAAAAGAAAATCAAAAAAAGAAGAGTGTAGCATACGTGTAGTATAGGAATATTCCTACACCGTATCGGTTGTCGACTGTGCGACTATTCGCGGAAGCGTACGGGTAACCGTACTCGGCGACCGGAACGTGAGACGATAGTCTCGTTCGCGTCGCGTGAGCCTGCAATCTCATCCGAAGTCAAGGGCGGCGTGGTCTGCTGATTTGGACGTGAGACTGTCGTCTCGTCCGTAGACGGCGCAGATGACGCGTGCTGTTGACCGGGACGTGAGAATGAGGTCTCAGATGTATCTAGCGTGGGACCTGAAGAAGATTTAAGGATCCCGCTAGGTTTGATAGGTCTAGCATTGAATCTCAGGTTGTCAGATAGGGCACTGTCATCGACGTGTGCTGGTTTGAGACGATCAATGCTGACGATCTCGACGTGTCCATATCGATCAACCTTGAAGGTCTTTTCGTGACGAGCGATCACGTGAAAAGAGCCTTCGTAAGGTCGTTGCCAGGGCTTGCGTACCGAATCTACTCGTACAAAAATATGTGAACAGGTAGATAACTCTCGAGGGAGAGCGACCTGTCGATGTTGTATTCGAGTTGACACCGGAGACAGCGTTCGCATAAATGCAGACAGTCGATGGACGTTGTCTGATTTACCGAAATCAGGTCTGCTCCGTGGTGTGAAGAATTCTCCGGGCAGACGCAATGTCGTGCCGTATACAAGTTCAGTGGCGGAACATTGGATATCTGCCTTTAAGCTCGTTCTGATCCCTAAACGAACGAGCGATAAGGTTTCGTACCAGTTGTCGTTCTCGTGTGCTTGTAGAGCACTTTTAAGTTGGTATTGAAACCGTTTACTTAACCATTTGGTGCTGGGTGGTAGACAGATATGCTTATGCGTATGCATTCCGTACCAAGCAGCCGGGTCAGCGAGGAGAATAGTTAATAGGGTAACATTTCTCGAATAAAGCGTGGAATTCATCATCACGCGAATAAAAAAGTGACAAGGATTCGGTACACATACGTGTGAGTCTATTATATTAATACTATTCTTATCGTTATCCGTCATGTCGTGTATATTAAATATTAAAAAATATGAAAATATACGACAGACGTGGATAGATAAAGCATAGACTCACCGAATTGGCTTCTTTGGAAGATTTGACCAGAAGTTGAGGCGTGTTCCAAACTTTGGGATCACCAATTGTATTCGAATTGGGATTACCAATTGTAGCGTGGCGTCGAGTTGAGGTTACCTATGAACACCGCTACCATGAAACACGTGCCAAGCGAATCAGAAGGCGTAAGAAGCTCGTTCCAAATGACTCCATAAAATCCCCGAGAAGCCAAATATCAGAAGACAGTTAATGGACCAAGTCGAGGTTTATTAGCTGGCGATCTCGTGGCATCGAAAGGATACCGAGATCGTGCCAGGATACGATCGTGGTTACAGAAGGTAACCGAATTCGCGCGAAGTTACAATCAAAGTGTAAGCGAAAGAATGGAAGCAGAAAATAGCTGTCATTAGCACAGTCAAACAAAAGCACGTTAAAACAAACACTGGTACAGTTGGTTATAATAATAATTGTTTTTATTAAACCAGTCGTGTTCTCGTGATAAACGTGAGTCACTACAAATTCATGACAATCTCAAGTTTCGGATACTTGCAGGTTTATACGAGACAAAGCAAGCTCGACTGTATTTAATGTGCTCAAGTATCAGGACTTCCTTACGTTTGAAATGGTTCTGGTATCTTCAATTATGATTTGGGTGTTAATACGGGTGTTAATCTTTTTGCTCCCTACAGCACTAATAATCTCCGCGGTCATAGCAAGAAGGTTTGTAGCGTGGCGTCGAGTCACGGTTGAGTATGAACACCACTACAAAGGAACACGTGCCAAGTAGATCAGAAGGCGTAGGTTGAACGTAACCAAATAAATCCATAAAATCCCCGAGAAGCCAAATACCAGAAGGCAATTAATGGACCAAATCGAGATATATATTTGCTGGCGATCTCGTGGTATCGAAAGGATACCGAGATCGTGCCAGGATACAACCTTGGTTACAGAACGTAATCGAATTCGCGCGAAGTTACAATCAAAGGTGTAAGTATAAGAATGGAAGCAAAATATAGCTGTCATTAGCACAGTCAAACAAAAGCACATTAAAACAAGCACTGGTACAGTTGGTTATAATAATAATTGTTTTTATTAAACCAGTCGTGTTCTCGTGATGAATGTGAGTCACTACAGGTTCAGAAACCAAGATCTAATAAACTTAAAGTGGGGTTCCGTTTTTCTCATCGAGTAGCCAATCATTGGAACGCCTTACCCGAACAAGTGGTATCAGCCCCATCAGTGAATACTTTCAAGAAGAAGCTGGACCTTCACTGGAAAGCAGTGCGTCAGGATTAATACAGGTTCATCAACCTACTATCCTTATTACTGAAGACTGAAGACTAACTTTCAAGAGCAAGTTTAACAGAATCTCATGCACTCAGAATGTCTGTTCATACATATTTACTACTCAAAACGATCCATGAACCATCATTTCCAAACAGAAAACCTAAATAAGCTCAAGCTTCAACCATTCGATTAACAAGCACTTGAAGCACTTCTAATTTAAGTAGGAAAAGCGCTTCGCGCAAATTTGACCTTAATAACATGAGTTGGCGCGCTTTCATCAAGCCCATATTTGTTGTTTGCTATTCTCTACTTATATGTATTACACTTCCTTTTCTGATTCTAAAGCTGTACGAAAAATCGGCTCCGGCAATAGTCAGCGCGTGGTTCGTCGCCGGGCTTTTTGTTCTAGGTGCAATACCTATATCACTATGGACCATAATTGAGCACATGATCAATTACACCAATCCACTTCTTCAAAGACATATTATCAGGTTTGTCTGATTCTTGACGAGTTTCACTTCAGAATCTTGTGGATGGTTCCGATTTATGCTGCTGATGCGGTAAACGTCATATATATTATCTTGACACTTGACATTAGTGGTTGGCACTGATTTTCCCTTCATTTGCAATTTACTTTGACACGTTAAGAGAATGCTATGAAGCTTATGTCATTTACAACTTTCTTGCGTTTTTGCTTAATTATTTGAGGAGCGAGTTTCCTGACTTACGATGCGTTATTGAACAGAAGCCACAAATGAAACACTTGCCGCCGTTTTGTTTCTTAAGCTCTTGGAGAATGGGAAGGTAACGTCTATTATTCTTATCTTCACAGATTTTAGTTAATATTCCATTCTTATCATGCATGGTATAGATCGGCTATTTTAAGATAACTCTTGTATCTTTAAATAGTAGTTGTGGCGTTCTTTCTGACCCCGTCATGTCAAACAGCCAGTCACTTTGCAAATAAAATACTGTGACCGAAATGCTATGCCGAATATTCTTTTGATTGTGCATCTATGTGGAGTTTTGTTTATTCTACAAAATTTTCGTGATTGTAAATAACTCCGGAGTAATTTTTTCCTTAGAACGTATCCACATTTATTTATCTGTAAACTTTTCTTTAAATGGCAAACGTCTAAAGTTTTTGCCATGTTTTTACAATCTAAGATTCACGGGAGAGTAGTTGGAACCACTTGTTCAATCAACCTTTAACTGTGTATTCAGTCTTGATTTAATTCATTAGTTCGTATTATGGAATTCAATCCCCTTTTTCTTTTTGGTTTGGCTTCGACTACAACGACACTGCAAATACTTAGGGTACTCACGCCATTAACTCTGGTATCGCTTTCACTGCCCTCGTCGTTCATTATTTATGCACATATACCAGTTTCCTTCCTTAGTAATCTAAATAAATTTTAGAGGTTCATGTGGATATGGCTTGCTTCTCTTCCAGGGTCATTACTTCAAAAACGTATCCTTTGGTTTGGTTGATTTTCGTCTACTAGATTTCTACTTCTGGTTTCTCATCACTTTAGGTTCGCTGAACTTAGATCTGTTGCTTACGTTTTTTCTCTATAAATTATAAAGTGGTAAGGCTGATCTGTTTTCTAAACGTGTATACCTTTGGTCAGCTTACTTATTTTATGCATTACACAAATATTGTCCAATATGTGTATTTTCTTTCTTTAAATGAATATCCATTTTCAATCGCTGTCCTATCTAAATCTTACGTTTTGGAGACAATCATGACTTAGATTCGATTTGTAGTTTATTTTCGTCATAATTTGGCATCGAATGGGATGTTGTTGGTAACCCAATAATTTTATGATACTCCAATTGCTGTTAACTTATGGCAAAACTATCCAAACTTATCGTCAGTTTAACACCTAGGGCAAGAAAGATTGCAAGTAAATCCTCATGGTACTCAATAACGAAGCCAGGAAGATCTTTTATTGGTCTTTAGGTCTTTTATTGATGTTATGCTTCTTCGTCTGTGTATGATGATATCGTGTTTTAAAAGTAAAAAAAATGTTTAATTCACTGGTTAGTATTAAATAGACACAAGAAATACTTTTTAGCTATAATATCTGTAGAAATAACTAAGACTCGTGAACTGCAAACACGAGAGAACCAAGCTGGCTTTAGACCTGGTCGTGGCTGCATCGACCACATATTCACCATTCGTCAGGTTCTAGAACACAGGCATACTTATCGATGTCCGACAATGGTGGTCTTTCTTGACTTAAAAGCAGCATTTGACTCTATAGACCGCGAGATTCTGTGGCAGTGTCTGTCATTGAAAGGCGTACCCCAGAAGTACATAAACCTTGTAAAGGCTCTTTACTCGAACACTACCAATCGAGTGAGAGCTTATGGCGAACTGTCATCTACTTTTGCAACCTCAAGTGGTGTCCGTCAAGGCTGTCCACTTTCTCCATTTTTGTTTAACTTCATCATAGACCTATTGATGGAAATAACTTTCTCGTCGACTGAGTTCCCGGGTATTGATCTCCTACCAGGAGGTCCACTTATCGACTTAGAATACGCAGATGACATAGTCCTGTTTGGTGAAGACGCTGACAAAATGCAGAAGCGACCGTTACGACCAAGTTCGTGACCAAGCGTGTGCCAAGCGTTCGAAACCAATATATCGACTGAGTGCGTTGACAAGAGCATGGGTGATCAGGCCAGCTTTCGCCAAAGTTCACTGAAGTCGACGGAACCAAACGGAGATGGTCGAAGGCGTGGGCTCAGGAAACAAAAAGAAAATCAAAAAAAGAAGAGTGTAGCATACGTGTAGTATAGGAATATTCCTACACCGTATCGGTTGTCGACTGTGCGACTATTCGCGGAAGCGTACGGGTAACCGTACTCGGCGACCGGAACGTGAGACGATAGTCTCGTTCGCGTCGCGTGAGCCTGCAATCTCATCCGAAGTCAAGGGCGGCGTGGTCTGCTGATTTGGACGTGAGACTGTCGTCTCGTCCGTAGACGGCGCAGATGACGCGTGCTGTTGACCGGGACGTGAGAATGAGGTCTCAGATGTATCTAGCGTGGGACCTGAAGAAGATTTAAGGATCCCGCTAGGTTTGATAGGTCTAGCATTGAATCTCAGGTTGTCAGATAGGGCACTGTCATCGACGTGTGCTGGTTTGAGACGATCAATGCTGACGATCTCGACGTGTCCATATCGATCAACCTTGAAGGTCTTTTCGTGACGAGCGATCACGTGAAAAGAGCCTTCGTAAGGTCGTTGCCAGGGCTTGCGTACCGAATCTACTCGTACAAAAATATGTGAACAGGTAGATAACTCTCGAGGGAGAGCGACCTGTCGATGTTGTATTCGAGTTGACACCGGAGACAGCGTTCGCATAAATGCAGACAGTCGATGGACGTTGTCTGATTTACCGAAATCAGGTCTGCTCCGTGGTGTGAAGAATTCTCCGGGCAGACGCAATGTCGTGCCGTATACAAGTTCAGTGGCGGAACATTGGATATCTGCCTTTAAGCTCGTTCTGATCCCTAAACGAACGAGCGATAAGGTTTCGTACCAGTTGTCGTTCTCGTGTGCTTGTAGAGCACTTTTAAGTTGGTATTGAAACCGTTTACTTAACCATTTGGTGCTGGGTGGTAGACAGATATGCTTATGCGTATGCATTCCGTACCAAGCAGCCGGGTCAGCGAGGAGAATAGTTAATAGGGTAACATTTCTCGAATAAAGCGTGGAATTCATCATCACGCGAATAAAAAAGTGACAAGGATTCGGTACACATACGTGTGAGTCTATTATATTAATACTATTCTTATCGTTATCCGTCATGTCGTGTATATTAAATATTAAAAAATATGAAAATATACGACAGACGTGGATAGATAAAGCATAGACTCACCGAATTGGCTTCTTTGGAAGATTTGACCAGAAGTTGAGGCGTGTTCCAAACTTTGGGATCACCAATTGTATTCGAATTGGGATTACCAATTGTAGCGTGGCGTCGAGTTGAGGTTACCTATGAACACCGCTACCATGAAACACGTGCCAAGCGAATCAGAAGGCGTAAGAAGCTCGTTCCAAATGACTCCATAAAATCCCCGAGAAGCCAAATATCAGAAGACAGTTAATGGACCAAGTCGAGGTTTATTAGCTGGCGATCTCGTGGCATCGAAAGGATACCGAGATCGTGCCAGGATACGATCGTGGTTACAGAAGGTAACCGAATTCGCGCGAAGTTACAATCAAAGTGTAAGCGAAAGAATGGAAGCAGAAAATAGCTGTCATTAGCACAGTCAAACAAAAGCACGTTAAAACAAACACTGGTACAGTTGGTTATAATAATAATTGTTTTTATTAAACCAGTCGTGTTCTCGTGATAAACGTGAGTCACTACAAATTCATGACAATCTCAAGTTTCGGATACTTGCAGGTTTATACGAGACAAAGCAAGCTCGACTGTATTTAATGTCCTCAAGTATCAGGACTTCCTTACGTTTGAAGTGGTTCTGGTATCTTTAATTATGATTTGGGTGTTAATATGGGTGTTAATCGTTTTGCTCCCTACAGCACTAATAATCTCCGCGGTCATAGCAAGAAGGTTTGTAGCGTGGCGTCGAGTCACGGTTGAGTATGAACACCACTACAAAGAAACACGTGCCAAGTAGATCAGAAGGCGTAGGTTGAACGTAACCAAATAAATCCATAAAATCCCCGAGAAGCCAAATACCAGAAGGCAATTAATGGACCAAATCGAGATATATATTTGCTGGCGATCTCGTGGTATCGAAAGGATACCGAGATCGTGCCAGGATACAACCTTGGTTACAGAACGTAACCGAATTCGCGCGAAGTTACAATCAAAGGTGTAAGTATAAGAATGGAAGCAAAATATAGCTGTCATTAGCACAGTCAAACAAAAGCACATTAAAACAAGCACTGGTACAGTTGGTTATAATAATAATTGTTTTTATTAAACCAGTCGTGTTCTCGTGATGAATGTGAGTCACTACAGGTTCAGAAACCAAGATCTAATAAACTTAAAGTGGGGTTCCGTTTTTCTCATCGAGTAGCCAATCATTGGAACGCCTTACCCGAACAAGTGGTATCAGCCCCATCAGTGAATACTTTCAAGAAGAAGCTGGACCTTCACTGGAAAGCAGTGAGTCAGGATTAATACAGGTTCATCAACCTACTATCCTTATTACTGAAGACTAACTTTCAAGAGCAAGTTTAACAGAATCTCATGCACTCAGAATGTCTGTTCATACATATTTACTACTCAAAACGATCCATGAACCATCATTTTCCAAACAGAAAACCTAAATAAGCTCAAGCTTCAACCATTCGATTAACAAGCACTTGAAGCACTTCTAATTTAAGTAGGAAAAGCGCTTCGCGCAAATTTGACCTTAATAACATGAGTTGGCGCGCTTTCATCAAGCCCATATTTGTTGTTTGCTATTCTCTACTTATATGTATTACACTTCCTTTTCTGATTCTAAAGCTGTACGAAAAATCGGCTCCGGCAATAGTCAGCGCGTGGTTCGTCGCCGGGCTTTTTGTTCTAGGTGCAATACCTATATCACTATGGACCATAATTGAGCACATGATCAATTACACCAATCCACTTCTTCAAAGACATATTATCAGGTTTGTCTGATTCTTGACGAGTTTCACTTCAGAATCTTGTGGATGGTTCCGATTTATGCTGCTGATGCGGTAAACGTCATATATATTATCTTGACACTTGACATTAGTGGTTGGCACTGATTTTCCCTTCATTTGCAATTTACTTTGACACGTTAAGAGAATGCTATGAAGCTTATGTCATTTACAACTTTCTTGCGTTTTTGCTTAATTATCTGAGGAGCGAGTTTCCTGACTTACGATGCGTTATTGAACAGAAGCCACAAATGAAACACTTGCCGCCGTTTTGTTTCTTAAGCTCTTGGAGAATGGGAAGGTAACGTCTATTATTCTTATCTTCACAGATTTTAGTTAATATTCCATTCTTATCATGCATGGTATAGATCGGCTATTTTAAGATAACTCTTGTATCTTTAAATAGTAGTTGTGGCGTTCTTTCTGACCCCGTCATGTCAATCAGCCAGTCACTTTGCAAATAAAATACTGTGACCGAAATGCTATGGCGAATATTCTTTTGATTGTGCATCTATGTGGAGTTTTGTTTATTCTACAAAATTTTCGTGATTGTAAATAACTCCGGAGTAATTTTTTCCTTAGAACGTATCCACATTTATTTATCTGTAAACTTTTGTTTAAATCGCAAACGTCTAAAGTTTTTGCCATGTTTTTACAATCTAAGATTCACGGGAGAGTAGTTGGAACCACTTGTTCAATCAATCTTTAACTGTGTATTCAGTCTTGATTTAATTCATTAATTCGTATTATGGAATTCAATCCCCTTTTTCTTTTTGGTTTGGCTTCGACTACAACGACACTGCAAATACTTAGGGTACTCACGCCATTAACTCTGGTATCGCTTTCACTGCCCTCGTCGTTCATTATTTATGCACATATACCAGTTTCCTTCCTTAGTAATCTAAATAAATTTTAGAGGTTCATGTGGATGTGGCTTGCTTCTCTTCCAGGGTCATTACTTCAAAAAAGTATCCTTTGGTTTGGTTGATTTTCGTCTACTAGATTTCTACTTCTGGTTTCTCATCACTTTAGGTTCGCTGAACTTAGATCTGTTGCTTACGTTTTTTCTCTATAAATTATAAAGTGGTAAGGCTGATCTGTTTTCTAAAAGTGTATACCTTTGGTCAGCTTACTTATTTTATGCATTACACAAATATTGTCCAATATGTGTATTTTCTTTCTTTAAATGAATATCCATTTTCAATCGCTGTCCTATCTAAATCTTACGTTTTGGAGACAATCATGACTTAGATTCGATTTGTAGTTTATTTTCGTCATAATTTGGCATCGAATGGGATGTTGTTGGTAACCCAATAATTTTATGATACTCCAATTGCTGTTAACTTATGGCAAAACTATCCAAACTTATCGTCAGTTTAACACCTAGGGCAAGAAAGATTGCAAGTAAATCCTCATGGTACTCAATAACGAAGCCAGGAAGATCTTTTATTGGTCTTTAGGTCTTTTATTGATGTTATGCTTCTTCGTCTGTGTATGATGATATCGTGTTTTAAAAGTAAAAAAATGTTTTATTCACTGGTTAGTATTAAATAGACACAAGAAATACTTTTTAGTTATAATATCTTTAGAAATAACTAAGACTCGTGAACTGCAAACACGAGAGAACCAAGCTGGCTTCAGACCTGGTCGTGGCTGCATCGACCACATATTCACCATTCGTCAGGTTCTAGAACACAGGCATACTTATCGATGTCCGACAATGGTGGTCTTTCTTGACTTAAAAGCAGCATTTGACTCTGTAGACCGCGAGATTCTGTGGCAGTGTCTGTCATTGAAAGGCGTACCCCAGAAGTACATAAACCTTGTAAAGGCTCTTTACTCGAACACTACCAATCGAGTGAGAGCTTATGGCGAACTGTCATCTACTTTTGCAACCTCAAGTGGTGTCCGTCAAGGCTGTCCACTTTCTCCATTTTTGTTTAACTTCATCATAGACCTATTGATGGAAATAACTCTCGTCGACTGAGTTCTCGGGTATTGATCTCCTACCAGGAGGTCCACTTATCGACTTAGAATACGCAGATGACATAGTCCTGTTTGGTGAAGACGCTGACAAAATGCAGAGTCTTCTGGTAGCACTAAGCAACAATGCCAGAATGCTTGGAATGCGCTTCTCTCCCTCTAAATGCAAGTTGTTGCTTCAGGACTGGTCTGCGTCAACACCTGAACTAAGGATAGGAAGTGAAGTAGTCGAACGCGTTGACAACTTCACTTATCTCGGAAGTCTGATCAGTCCTAATGGTTTGGTGTCTGACGAAATCTCAGCACAGATTCGAAAAGCTCGTTTGGCTTTTGCCAACTTACGTCACCTATGGCGAAGGTGAGATATCCGTCTATCAATAAAAGAACGAGTATACTGCACGGCAGTCCGTTCTGTCTTACTTTACGGCAGCGAAACATGGCCATTAAGAGTAGAAGACACTCGTAAGCTACTAGTATTTGACCACAGATGCCTTAGAAATATTGCTGGCATCTGCTGGGATCACCGGGTAAGTAATAGTGAGGTTAGACGCAGGGTATTAGGGAATGATGGTAAATCAGTTGATGAGGTTGTGAATCTTCATCGACTGAGATGGTTGGGCCACGTGTTACGTATGCCTGAACACCGATTACCACGACGTGCAATGCTAACCGGTGTTCGGGATGGTTGGAAGAAAGTTAGGGGCGGCCAAACCAAAACGTGGCATCAGTGCTTGAAGTCACTAACTTCTAGTCTGAGCCATGTTGGTAGATGCAGACTACTTGGTTGGGGTCCGCGTGACTATCGTAACCAATGGTTGGAGACTCTTGGTGACATGGCTCAGAATCGATTACAGTGGCGTCGGTGTATACTCTCTCTGTCTTCCCTTAAACTAAGAGATTAAAATCACTTCATATCTTTCTTTCTACGAACCAATTCTTTCTTCTTGTACTATATCCTTATTGCAATCTTTCTCTTACATGCTATGAATCCGGTGTTCATCTTGTTGTGCTGATGCGGTATGGCAACCTGGACCGATGCACATATGTGCCTGGTCCTACGTTGTAGCTGACTGACTGACTGATAGATTTGTTGTTATAAAAATACCATACTCTCAGCTTGATTCATGTCACACTATTCCTGTCTTCGGTGATGGTCCGAATGAAGTTAATTCTTTTTATCTGTTACAGAGTATTCATTGACCACTGTCGTCACGGGGCCTTGCAGTATACCGTTATTCGTCCACTAACAACTGCTATTGCACTGTAGGTTGATTTTCTCATATACGCATTTTCTTTTCGAAGATTATGCTACCCAATAATTGTTTTCTGGTGGTTATTCTTCATTTGTAGTGTGGTTTTATCACATAAGTTGCAAACATTGTATGACTTCACGTGTTTATTCTCGTTTCCCTAAACTGTAAATTAAGAATTGTACATGATCATTATCAGCCCTCATGTTGTTTCTTTTATTTTGGCTCCTTTACTATTGGCTTTATTCTGTCCTTCTCTGTACTCACTTGTAGAGCTTTAGGTAATCATTTTATCTTAAAAAGTACCATATCTTCTCCCTAAACTCCTCAAACTACTATATGGAGTCATTTATGTTCTAAATAAATATCAAATCAAACAACTAAAATTGTTGTCAAAGCTTTACCATCGCATTACTAATTTATCCTTTGTAGAACATAATACCCACTTGGATATTCACATGATCTTGTCTCCCCGGTTATACCAATCACTTTTATGGTTTATGGTGCTTCTATGTCCAATTACAGTAATTTTGTAAGGAGAGACAATTATTTTATGAAATAGCCTGATGGGATAAGAGATCTTTGTACGATTTTTGCGTGTTCTAGAACGCCACTGCTTCCCTGGAGGCCGTTATAGAGACAACTTAATCTAATGACTTAATACAGTATCATAAATAAACGAAGCTTTTGACATTATTGCTGTATATTTATTTTGCACTCTTAGTGACAAGTGTTTTTTATTGAAAGGAATAGATTTTGTTTTGGTCATTTTGTTTTATTTATTTATGAAGATTCTGTTTTATTTAGGCGCATTCAGAATGAGCCACACTACATTTGAAACTTAATGTTGTTTATTTGCATCTTATCTACAACAATCAGTTAAAATAATTTCTCTACAACTAGATGTCCACAGATATTATGCGGTTGAACGTTTTTTTATTTTTACGGCTTGAAATTTCAGCTTTCTGATAAAATTATATGAAATTTATCTGATTACAGAATATGTGAAATGGTTGGCGTTTATGGTGAAGGAGACTTCAACTTTCGCCACGCGTTCCTTTACTTGACTATTATAAACAATGTTTCTCAAATTGTGAGTAACGTGTTATAAGTTTTCACTATTTTTCCCCATTTGAATCATCCACTTCATTTATCTTACTCGTAAAATAAATATTTTGAGAAACTATAACTCAAGTTTAATTCATTGCTTTATTTGTTACTCATAAAGTATTCAGTAGTTCACGCGCATTAGAGTTAGTTTCTTGGCTGAAATTCAGGAGTTTTATGTTCCAGCTTTTATGAATCCTTCATAATTCCAAAATCAATTCAAATTAGTTGGTTTACATGGTTAACTTGAAAGGTGAATATATCGTTAACCTCGATGGTGAGCTTTTATAAAGCTGTCCTTTTAGTTAATCTCAGCCTAACCTTTAGAGTTCTAGGTAAAAGTAATACCAACGTAAAATATGTTATCAACTTCTGTGTTTTCCGCAAGTTGGTTTAGAACCAGTTGAAAAATGATTATGTATCTCGAAAATCCAATTTTTTTATAACGGTTGTGAACTGATATGATAATGTAATATTGATCTCATCTGGTGATTTTAGAGACCACATCCAGTTGTTTCAACATATGAAGAGGTTCTGCAGTGCTCTTCTAATAACTGATAGACATCGCTTGGCTGATAAAGTTTCTCAAGATATTGCGGTATACAATCACATAACCCGTAATTACGGGTTTATAAACAACGGACCTGAATAAACTAGTTATTATTTCAGACCTAGTCATGATTGGGTTGATCACTTATTCACTTTAATAAATTTTAGAACATGAAAATACCTTTTAACATCTGACGGCAGTTCTGTTTATTGACCTCAAGACCACATTTTGATCTTCTAGTGTTTTGTGGCAGTAGTTGTTGTTAAAAGGACTACCAATAAAGTACGTTAGCTTGTGGAGGACCTTACTCGAATACTGTCAATTGAGTCATGCTGTGGCGAACTATAATGTGAATCTGCCACATTAAGTGGAATTCTTCAGGGCTGCTCACTTTTCGAGATTATTCAATTTTGTCGTAGATATTCCTTTAAGATAATAATTTCCTCGTCCGACTGGGTGGTGTGATCATATGTTCAGCCGATCCAGACCCAGCCTAAAACGGTTTCTGTGTTGTGTATGTGTGGTTGTTTGCTGTATTTTGACGATTTTGATCTTCATCTTAGTTCCTTGCAGCTTTGATGCGAGTTGTAGCAACTTACATCAATACACATGTGTGTTAGGTGCAACATTGTTAACAACTGGCTGAGGTTCATAAACAGTTCCGTTTTAAACGAACTTCATCAAAATATTTTCAGTGGTTCTAAAAATGTTTACAAATGGGACTGAAAAAATTGTTTTATATCCCCTAGTTTTTTGACGATAATCGGTAATAAAATATGTTTTCAAACCAAATACAATTCTACCAATCATGTATCTATAAACATAAGTTAGTGTAAGTTTGGAAATGTAGACTGTTTTGTTCATACTTATTGAGTGAACTTTATTTAGCTAGTTATAACACTTGAAAGTGTCGTGTTTTATTCAGTTTAGAGTTTATAGGTTTTTGACGGTTCTACATAAAGAAATTTATCTTCCTATTTACAATCACTATCTGTTATTGTCACTTAAATCTGTCTAGTTGAGAAATGTGTTTGAAAGATATCATATTTCGCTAATACAGCTATTTAATTTCGTAGCCTTATAAGCTTTTCAAAATCTTATTTTATTTCTTCGAAAAATCAGAATACATACTTTTTTCTAAAGTTTTTTGTTACTCATCTTTCAGTGGGCACTCTATTGTTTAGTAATGTTCTATCGGTGTACTCGATTAGAATTAAGTCCAATGAAACCGGTCGCCAAATTTCTATGCGTCAAATTCGTTGTTTTCATGTCTTTCTGGTGAGTTTAATTACTTTTTATTGAAAATACGGCCATCACAATTTGAACTTGCAATAACTGTATTTTACAAATGGTAGCTTTAATAGCTCTAATTATATCATACGACAGAACTGCAGTAATATTACTTTAGGAATTGAAAACATCTAACTTCGTGATGTTCCAAGTACCGTTTTATGCCAAAATATAGATGGTTTTAGTAGCAAGTTGAAGGGTGGATTATTGCAAGTTTAGTATTAGTTGATTCTAGGTGTATCGAAAATCAGTCAATTGAAACAATGTAGAGCCTGGCACATATGTGGATCGTTTCGAGTTTACGTACTATATAGTCATAGCAATATGAAATTATTAAGACAACTACTGATGTAGTAGAAATAGTAACATCCTCAGTGATGTTAGGAAACAGAGAATAGGATTCTAAGGAGAAAAGTTAGGATTTGTGTAATAAAAAAATGTGAACTAATTTTAGAACCCAGGATCTGAGGGGGTACAAACAGTAAATGCATCTGCGCCAACGCTACTAATTTCGACCCGTGTTACCCAAGGTCTCCCTAAAAATATTAAAAAGGTTATCTCCCAAAGAACTTTGATGGCAAAGTCAAATGCAAATGAAGAAGGTCGGAAACCCTGACGAACACCACTTTATGTTTGAAAAATGAGTTGTTTTGAGACTGAATGTTTAATATACTAAATTCTGCCGTGTAATTTAGTGTTGGCTTTTTATTTTTAATAGTAGCTTGTGTTTGTATTCAATGCAAATCGTAGTAGGTGCAATGAATTTTAAGTGGATAATTGTAACCAGGATACAAAATGGTTTGTAGTGGTATCGACACTCATCTCTACGGTATGACTTAAATCATATTAAGGATCTCGTTCTCTCTCCCTACAATAATCTACACTTCTCAGTCTGCCATTCATAAATTGTATTGGTTATTATATGGATTATGACTTACAACTAAAACTAATCATCTACCAGCCGTTGAACTTCAATCACCGCCTCTAATCGTATACTTCTGTCACCTGAAACTGCTCTAACCGATATGATGCTCAGTCGGTTACTCTACTATTTCACAGATAATGATGTCCGGATAGATCATAATGCTGACTTTCATCCGAGATCAAGAAGTACGTCATCTACCTACAAACACCTGTAAGTACATTTCCACGATATGACAGGTTGTTGTTCGTTGTAGCATACATAATTAGCTAAGATGTAAATCGACCACAGCGTTCAGTAAAGGAGGGTATTTACTTCGTTTGTCAATAGATTGCCAGTGTAAATGCATGATATTATTGCCTTCTTTTTCTATTAAATAAAGTTTGGCAACGGTTTGTATTTCTGTCTAATATTTACAGTATTAGGTCTGTGACTATCAATATGTTCTTACAAACGTTTCTGTCACTGTTTATTTTGTCAGTTTATAATAACACAGGATTCAACACGAAAGTGCAACGATACACGTCATCACAATCCACCTCAATTCAAGATGAAACCATTTCACTCAGTATATCAGCAATAGATTTTATTATATAGTGGAATTGAGAGTTTTTTGTTTACTGGCCAATAGTTCCTCTGTACTATGAATTTAATAACATATCATTCGTATCATTTTCTGTTGCATTTTCTGCTACGATTTTGTCGGCATTTTTTAGTTTCATCTTAGAAAGTAGCTTATAAATTGATGCTGTTTTAACTCCCGTTTGTTTTTTCTTAATAGGCAGTCCATTTTAATCGCAGTACTTGCTGCTACTGGTGTTATCAGAAAGGTGGAAGCCTGGAAACTATATGATGTTCAGTCTATTGGTATCGCACTACAAGTAAATACGAAATTTTCATATTTTCATAATAACTTTTGTTATATTGTTTATGCTACTTGTTAGTAGTTCAGAGTTTCTTTAAATGTTTTGATGCTATTTAAAAAACCATTTCGATGTTAGTAGCAATTATACACTGTGTGATGTAAACTCTGCATATACTAACCAAATCTATATTTCATGCGATTAGTAATTTTCTTATTAGAATGCTCATGGTATGTCTTACATCACTTAAGTTCATTAGTGGCAACTTGTTTTCTGTAGCCATAAAGGATACGCTTCCTCATCTGGTCGCCTCCATGTGCATCTACCAGTTCACCTGCTCTTGCGGAGCAAGGTACACCGGCCGTAGCCAGCACCCGCTTTCAACTCGGATACGGGAACATGTCTCAGCGTGGTTCTATGAGGGCGATATGAAAGTAGTTAGAAGTTCCATACTTGAACAACTAATCAATTCTAATCATTCTACTGGTCCAAAGGTTGATTTTAAGGTTGTATATACGATTCATCCAAATTTACTTAGGTTTCTTCGTATCCAACTCTTAAATATGGTAGAAGCTCTTACTATTCATAAGCTCAAGTCAGAACTGTGCGTACAAAAGAAGTCCGTCCTATCGTTATCGTCACCTTGAACTTTATTATTATTATTATTATTATTATTATTATTATTATTATTATTATTATTATTATTATTATTATTTCATTTCTCCCTTCACCTATGTCTCATATTCTTATTATCTTATTCATAATTACTCATGATATCACTTAATTTATTTTGCACCTCTGTTACCTTTAATTATTGTAACAAAATTATGTTAATCATCTTAATACATTCACGTTATAATTTGTTGCTAACTTATTAAGTCTATTGTTATTACTCACATTACGCAACATAGTGTTATAACCTTTCGATTACATCATTTTGGTTATTCGTTGCTCATATGTCCTCACGGAACTAGCATTTATATACGATTGTACAGCTTGATAATTTCGTTGAAAAGAGATCTTTTAGCTGAACTTCGTGTTTTTAATTCCCAAATGGGGATAACTTGTCACTTAAGTTTTTAATTATGAAACTTATTTACATATGTGCAGTATCAAATACTTGGCTTTGAGTCTCATGTAATTTTTTGAAGGTTAGTGATAATATCCCACTGACCAAACTGTAGTTTGTGTGGCGCGGTTTGTGCTATCAACTCAATGCTTTAGCCTTTAGAAGTACATTCCTAAAATGTTTGTTTTCATTCTTTGTGTAAAGAAGAAATAAGCTATTGTTATTCATTCCATTTCACAGCGAGTGTTGAAACTGTTTAATGTGCATTCAAAAGATACAGTCCCAGGGGATATCGAATAGCTTTGTTTATATCCTAATTTATTTGACTTTGTTATAACAGTTTATTCTTTACCTTATTTTATTCCACTGCTTTTCCTTAGTGGTATTTTATGATTGAAGTATTTTTAAAAAGTTAGTCTGCTCTGGCTTATGTCCATTTTTTTATCAACCACTCAAACAACCTGGCTGTTAGGATTGCTTAATTTTTTATACGAACTGTTTTATTTTGTGCCTATACAGAATTTCGCTATATGTATCGAGATGTTCATTGCCGCAATAGCCCATCACTTCTCTTTCACTTGGACGCCATATGTCGATCCTAATTCGGAACCAACGAGTTGCTGTTACTCATGGCGGTCTATGTGGGATGTGTCTGATATGCGTCGAGATGTTGTAGAACATGTCAGACACATCGGTGAGTTAATAATGTCTCGTAATTATTAAATCAGGATGAAAAAGTTTGAAATCTTAGAAGTATTTTTTTTGAATGACTATTATTTATATTTTTATTGTATAGTTAATAGATAACTGTATTGTTTCATTCTTATATTCTCTTTATTCTAAGCTTTCAGGGAACCTATTAACTGTCGTTATACGTTTTAATATTCTCTGATTATTGCTAATTACTTATGTACCATTTGCTTCGTTTCCGCTCCACTTGTGGCTTGATTCTGCTTGAAGTGTAAATTTTATTTAGTGTACTGTATGGTTCAGGGATCTCAAGTTTATGATTGTATTTGCTTTGAGTCATAATTGAACTAAGTGTGATAGAGTATTGATCTGCTACCTATCTTCGCCTTTTGACTGGCTAATGGGTTGGTGGAGCTCTACAACCAACAACTTGACCGTTGTTGCCACCTTGACGTGGTGGTCAGGCTTGCCTTCAGATAACTAGCATAACAGCGATGCTGCCTTCCCACAAGGAGGGGTGGGGTTAGTAAAGGTCGACCCTAAAATGCACACCTCGTCTTATCCCACGAATATCCGTCTCCGGCAGTAAGGTCTCAACAAGTACGGAGCTAACACAAAAATTACCCATAAAAAGGTCGTGTGTGACCGACCTCAAGCAGTTGTCCCTTGGGCACTGCGGTCACGCTCCCAGGTCACTAAGACCACCTCTAATCCAATTTCCTTTTCAGGTACCTCCAGAAGAACCCTTCCACGGTGTGGGCAACCGGGAAGTGAATAACCATCCTCATACTTCTAACAGCACTCAAGACCACTGTATTCATAATCAACCTCCGTCTTCACTTCCTATTATTCCTCCTACATCGACTTTTACCTCTAAACTTCCTTTTCCGGCTTCCCCCTCAAGTGTCACCATAGCCAACAATTCTAGTGCTCAAAACACTGTCCCAGGTCTACTAAAACCTTGCTGCAACTGTGCTCAGACAATCGTTTATTTTTAGCAAACACAAATTTTAAGCATAAGGAGAGACATTGTCTAACATGGTGACCCCCTACACCAAAGCAACGATGGACTCGAATAGACTATATTGCCATCAGTCATCGTTGGAGAGGGTCGGTAGAAGATTGTCGCTCATTCTGAAGTACCTATTTGGACTCCGACCACGCCCTAATACGGGCACGCATCTGCTTGTGCCTCACTGGACGCAAAAAAGCCACAGTAAAAAGACCCATTAGGATTGAATTGAGTAGCGAGAAAATCAAAAGTAGGTTCCAGGAACAACCGAGGTCACAATTAGGTATTTCTGAAAACGAGGTTGACCCAGATGCTGCTTGGAAAGCTATACAAACAGCTGTGGAAACAGCAGTGACATTTATCAGTGATTTAAACCACAGGGTTACAAAGAGCCGATGGATTTCCATTAGGTCTATTGCACTGATCGATTCTTGTAAACTCATCCCATCAGGCTCTGAACACGATGAAGAGCGAAAACAAAGCAGATCTAGGTTAGGCAAAAGTCTAAGGAACGACCGTGAGCAGTAGTGGACAACGAAAGCAAAAGAGATGGAAAAGGCGGCGGCTATAGGGAACACAAGACAGCTCTACAGACTAATAAAAGAAACTGGAATTAATAAGTCAAGAGTAAGTCAGACTATTTCGTAAAAAGACGACACTCTCATCTGCTCCCAGTCCAGACGTTTAGAACGATGGGCGGAACATTTCAGAGAACAGTCCAGCTGGCCTTCAGCTACTCTACAACTACCCTCCATTCCCAGACAGTGTGAACGGGATATTGAAGTAGGTCCCCCAAATCTAGCAGAAGTTCAAAAGGCTATAGTTAATCTGAAACGAGGAAGGGCAGCTGGTCCAGATGGATTGGCTCCAGAGGTCTTTAAGGATGGTGGTCCAATTTTAGCGATTAGGTTGACTAATATTTTAGCTAAGATCTGGGAGTTAGACGTTATCCCATCTGACTGGTCACAATCACTTATCGTCCCAATATATAAGAGAGGGTTAATATCATCCTGTGTAAACCATAGAGGGATTAGTTTAACTAATATAGTATCTAAAATACTAGCCTCGATAATTATCAGACGCCCAACTAAGACTCGTGAGCTGCAAACACGAGAGAATCAAGCTGGCTTCAGACCTGGTCGTAGCTGCATCGACCACATATTCACCATTCGTCAGGTTCTAGAACACAGGCATACTTATCGATGTCCGACAATGGTGGTCTTTCTTGACTTAAAAGCAGCATTTGACTCTGTAGACCGCGAGATTCTGTGGCAGTGTCTGTCATTGAAAGGCGTACCCCAGAAGTACATAAACCTTGTAAAGGCTCTTTACTCGAACACTACCAATCGAGTGAGAGCTTATGGCGAACTGTCATCTACTTTTGCAACCTCAAGTGGTGTCCGTCAAGGCTGTCCACTTTCTCCATTTTTGTTTAACTTCATCATAGACCTATTGATGGAAATAACTTTCTCGTCGACTGAGTTCTCGGGTATTGATCTCCTACCAGGAGGTCCACTTATCGACTTAGAATACGCAGATGACATAGTCCTGTTTGGTGAAGACGCTGACAAAATGCAGAGTCTTCTGGTAGCACTAAGCAACAATGCCAGAATGCTTGGAATGCGCTTCTCTCCCTCTAAATGCAAGTTGTTGCTTCAGGACTGGTCTGCGTCAACACCTGAACTAAGGATAGGAAGTGAAGTAGTCGAACGCGTCGACAACTTCACTTATCTCGGAAGTCTGATCAGTCCTAATGGTTTGGTGTCTGACGAAATCTCAGCACAGATTCGAAAAGCTCGTTTGGCTTTTGCCAACTTACGTCACCTATGGCGAAGGTGAGATATCCGTCTATCAATAAAAGAACGAGTATACTACACGGCAGTCCGTTCTGTCTTACTTTACGGCAGCGAAACATGGCCATTAAGAGTAGAAGACACTCGTAAGCTACTAGTATTTGACCACAGATGCCTTAGAAATATTGCTGGCATCTGCTGGGATCACCGGGTAAGTAATAGTGAGGTTAGACGCAGGGTATAAGGGAATGATGGTAAATCAGTTGATGAGGTTGTGAATCTTCATCGACTGAGATGGTTGGGCCACGTGTTACGTATGCCTGAACACCGATTACCACGACGTGCAATGCTAACCGGTGTTCGGGATGGTTGGAAGAAAGTTAGGGGCGGCCAAACCAAAACGTGGCATCAGTGCTTGAAGTCACTAACTTCTAGTCCGAGCCATGTTGGTAGATGCAGACTACTTGATTGGGGTCCGCGTGACTATCGTAACCAATGGTTGGAGACTCTTGGTGACATGGCTCAGAATCGATTACAGTGGCGTCGGTGTATACTCTCTCTGTCTTCCCTTAAACTAAGAGATTAAAATCACTTCATATCTTTCTTTCTACGAACCAATTCTTTCTTTCTGTACTATATCCTTATTGCAATCTTTCTTTTATATATTACCACCTCTGAATTAACTACTTTTATGAATCTGGTGTCCATCGTGTTGTGTTAATGAGGTATGGCAACTTGTACCGATGCAGATATGTGCTTGGTCCTACGTTGTAGCCGACTGACTGACTGACAGAACCAACAAGCATTAAGCTCTCGCTTGTTATTCATTGTTCGGTGTATCACTTAGTATTTGGAAAGTTACCGGTCCTGTTGAGTGTGGAGGTTAACTACTCGGTAATCGGAATTCTGCCTTTTGAGTTTAGCACACGATATTGATTAGCGTCTCACAATATGACAGTGGTTATCCTCTTCTATTTCATTTTGTTGCTGTCATAATATCCTCTTTTTAACAGAATAGTATGATATGCAATTAATTTTTCTGAGTTTCTTATGATTAAATTACATGCTTAGAGTTAAAATGATCTCGTATTTGTGTTTTATGTTCTATGTAAAATGTTTTTCTTTTTTACTCAAATAATGTTACGCACTCGTATTTACAATGATCGTCTTTGTACAAACGAGCTGTCAGCTATTTTTTTAACACTGATACAAAATTTAAAAAGATTGTACTGGCCGCTCGATGAATTGATCGAATTATCAGCGAGTTAAGGTTAAGTTCAACTGATCTGCTGCTCCGGCAACATCGATCAGACTGTCCTGCCCTCCATGGCCGGTGACGACTGATCCACCAAATGAACTCCAACTCTTGAGACGCTACAAATCACCGGGCCTTGATGACCTGCCTCCGGCCCTTTTTAAAGATGGTGGTGACTTTCTGGTTAAGGAACTGACTACGTTGTTTACAAAGATTTGGGAACTAGAGAGTGTTCCAACATCATGGAATGAGTCGACAGTTGTTCCTATCTTTAAAAAGGGTTCACATCTTTTCTGTAACAACTGTCGGGGGATAAGTCTACTTCGATTGTGTCCGAATTATTAGCTTCCGTCATACTTCGTAGGTTGTTCAAAACTTGAGAAAGATTGACTCGCGAGGAGCAGGCTGGTTTTTGTTCTGGTCGAGGATGCATTGATCATATCTTCACCCTCCGTCAAATGTTAGAACACCGTTATACTTATCACTGACCAACAATCGTAGTGTTACTTGATATCAGGGCTGCCTTCGATTCGTTGGACAGGACTGTTCTCTGGGATTGTCTATTGAAGAAGGGTGTGCCTGAGAAGTTCATTAACATCCTAAAAGCCTTGTATACAAACACAGGCAGAGTGAGGGCATACAACCACCTCTCTCCATTGTTCCATTCAAGCAGTGCGGTTAGACAGGGTTTCCTAATCTCACCATTCCTCTTCAATTTTGCTATCGATGGCTGTGACGACGGACCACCGGTAAACTCGAGGAAGCTATAAGAGGCTCAGAAGGAGCCGAAGACGTTCCATCCAATCACCTGTCGGAAGAATGTTCTAGAATTCCAACGTGTAGCTTCCCGATTGGATAATGCTAATAACCCCCTGTACGCGGATTGGAAGACTGTAATGATGATTTCGTTCTCACTATAAACTATAAATACCTGATAATTTTGTACTATGTTGGACACTGTTGGAATAATATTCCTTTCGTTAGTCTTCTGTCTTCTTATTGCGATTTGGAAGGGTTTGGTGTTCTAGTGCTCAGTTATACGCGGTTGTATCAAGAAAAATCAGCTTTTTCAAGTTATAACAATGGCATTCTGGAAACAGCTCTGGTGGATGTAAGTAATGGTGGTGTGGATCTGTTGCCTGGAGAAAGACTTCTCGACCTTGAGTATGCGGACGATATTGTCTTACTGTGCGATAATGCCCAAGGCATGCAATCCGCACTTAATCAGTTGGCAATCAGTGTCCGTAGGTGTGGTATGTGCTTTGCACCTTCGAAGTGAAAAGTACTTCTACAAGACTGGCAGGATTCCAATCCTGTACTCACCCTGGATGGTGAGCAGATAGAAGTAGTCGAGAAGTTCGTATATCTGGGTAGCTGCATAAGTGCTGGTGGTGGCGTGAGTGATGAGATCGATGCACGAATAGTGAAGGCCAGAGCGGCTTATGCCAATCTGGGCCACTTTTGGCGCCTTCGTGATGTTAGTCTGGTTGTAAAAGGTCGGATCTACAACGTGTCGGTGAGAGCAGTTTTGCTCTATGCTTGTGAAACCTGGCCTCTCCGAGTTGAGGATGTTAGACGACTCTCTGTGTTCGATCATCGTTGTCTGCGAAGGATTGTTGACATCCAGTGGCAACACCATGTTATTAATGCAGAGGTTCGGCGTTGTGTTTTTGGATGCAGAGACGACAATTCAATTAGTGTCGCCATCTTGAAACATCGACTTCAGTGGCTTGGACATGTTCTACGAATGTCGTCCCAGAGAGTTCCACATCGTGCATTATTTGCCGTCGCCGGGACTGGTTGGAAAAAGCATGGTGTCGTGGTATGAAAGAAAGCTGCAAAGGGCTGGCTTGTGTTGGTCCTTCACGACCCCCTGACTGGGGTCCTAGAGATGGTGCAACACAGTGTCTAGAGACGTTATCAGATATGGCTGAGAATAGAAGCCAGTGGCGATCGTGCTGTAACCTTCTTTTACTTCATAAAAAGTGGCAGCAACTTCTTTAACTGAAAAAATTCTTTCTGCTTGTACCTTTCTGTTTCTTGCATTATCATTATTATTATTATTATTATTATTATTATTATTATTATTATTATTATTATTATTATTATTATTTCACTACCATACATTAATTTGTGATCGTTATATTTCTTTTTTTCTTTTTACACTCACCTTACATTATTTATCGCTTCACATTCTCATTATTATTGTGTGGAGTATATGTATCTGGTGTCCTCTTGTACCAATATTTATGCGCGCGAAGCCAGTAGGTCCTGGGTTCGAGCCCCGCGTGGTGCGGGATCGTGGATGCGCACTGCTGAGGAGTCCCATACTAGGACGAAACGGCCGTCCAGTGCTTCCAGGTTTTCAATGGTGGTCTAGCTTCAACTGACTCATGATTTAAATCTGTGAAAATAAATATAGCTCGGTTGCTCCTCAAATTTACGATCAAGAGTCATTCAGGTCTTATGTCTGATTTAGTATGTGGTCGTAATATCTGTCGTTGTTTCCTGGTTCCTAGTCCTCTTTAAATCGATATCAATCCATGATAAAATCCCTTTTCAAATGAATTGTGATTGCAATATCAGTTTTTGCCCTTAGTATAGAAAAGTTTACTGGTTGCTTGCTTTGTGGTTATCTTCAATTTTTGTCAGTATTGGGTTAGTCATTCATTTTAAAAATATAAGTCACTGATCCTTAATGATGTTTATCTAATTGATCACATTTGGTTTTATTTGACTACAGGTCATAGTGTAAGACATTTTAATTTCTCCTCCGACCGTCAACTTTCAAGCCGTCACAGTCTTTCAGGAACTTATCACCGAGTTGTATCTCTTGACGCTGATGAAGTCGATTGTAATAGTATTGCATACTGTGACAACGAAATCAACCCTCTTCTTCCAAATCAGGATTCCAGTTCTGAAGTAGGAATTGGGTCTGAATTACTTCGTGTTAGGAATTCCGGGGATAATATTCAAACTGAAAAGATAGTCTAACTCTAACGCTGAAATTATTCTCTACTAACTTGTAACAATCCATATAATGCTATATATTTTAAATATTATTTTCTTTTAACCCTCACATTTATCTGATATTTTCATCTTATCATGTGTAAAACAGAGCCAACGATTATAACGTATGTATATCCCTCTTATTATTTTTTTATAAGAATATCTTTGTGTACAAAAGTTCTATTTCTGCTTATCTTTACTTGTAATTAACCTGCTTGCTAAATAATAAAATTGTTAATTTTCTCTTTTATCTTTTATTTTGTCAAATAGTAAGTATTCTAATCAGGTTGTTGTGAATTTACAGGAGCATAATGTGATATTTTGTTTGTTTAACGTTCCGATAAAAATAAGCTTTCGTAATTAATTACAAATATTTGTGTAATTATTATTTTCGGTCACTTTACATCTGTACTCAACTTGTATTATAAAAATAATTTCTTTAAAAATACAGCATAAAATTATAATTTTGAAGGTGTTCTAGATGAGGGCTAGCATAAACCTAAAGTTATATATCAGAATGATAGATAATTGATATTTGTTGATCTAGAGCTCATTCTAATATACTTTGAGGTATGTAAAATGAATTGACATTTTTAGTTATTAGAAGTGTAATTATTTGTTTTATTGAACAACTAAGAAATTAGTTACCTTCATTAATTACAGGTCCAAATCCACTTTTAAATCTTTTAGTCAAATAACATCGTCCTAACGTATAAATCAGGGTCCAGGATGTCGTTTAAGTACTGTTCATTGATGGTTCGCGGTAATATATATATGCTAATCAATATCACGATAGAAACCATTTAAGAGGGGACTTCCTAAATTTCTGTTAAACTTTGGTGATTTCTATGTATGTGTTTTAGTAGTCATGGATTTCAAAGTAATGGTCATCTCAACGAATAATGTACTCGGTTTTCAGTCATTGACCTTAGATTCAAAACCGATTCAACCTACTTCTGGTTGTGGGAAGCGGTGGTATCAATATTTCTTACGGTAGTATGACTCAAACCTAAGAATAAACTAAACTTCACCTGATTAGTGAGTTACATTCGTAAAATAAATAATCGTATTTATTTACAGCATTGTTTAACAAAGCCTTCGTATGGTTGGACTTGGTGTCATGTTACTAATCTCCCTTCTTATAAAAGAGGCAGAGATCCACTCTGCAATGATATTTAATAAATGATTTTGTCTAATATATGGTTATTCAATGTTTAGGCAAAACTGGAAAAATTTACTATCCATTTGATTTTGATCCTAAATTTCACTCCTGTGAGTTTGAAGTAAATTTCGCGCCTATTTTCCGGCTACTAATAAATTTGTGATAGTTGATTAATGGCATATATCTTTTTTCTGATTGTGAAATGAAGAGACTTAGGTTGTGTATAACTGTAATTTTTCTGTAACCTGTCTTTAACCTTTATCTACATCAATTTAAGCTGTTTTCTCTATTTCGGTGTACAAACCAACAAAGGTAGAAGACTTCAGTAAGTTACTAGCGTTTGTTGACATATATCTCCAAATGACTTATAACATCATCAATTAAGTAGTTCTGAGATCAAGCGTAGGGTTCGGTGTAGGCATGGTAAGTTGTTTGATGAGTACACAAACCTTCCATATTTCGTTACTCTCAATGTTATCTGGAATAGAGTAAGCTGGGAAAAAACTAGCATAAGATAAAAAATAGGATCAGTTTATGAAGTCAATGACTCCTAGTGCGTTGTATCATTACGTCTAGTTTTAAACTTCCAGGTTACGATACTTGTGATAATCATAATCCATGATTATGAGCGTTGTGTGGCGACTTAAAATTGACCATAGTAGTGTCACCGCAGTCATTGTTTATTGTTCTTATAATTTTAACTTTCATATCATTTATTCCCTTCAGAATGCATGTTTTTTGTATGACTCTTCATTGTATTGGATACTATTTTTCCTCCCTTAATTTTCTTCCTATAAGTTTCATTTATCTATTTGGTGATATGAGGTGTTAGGAGTTGGGACGATGCATATTTGTGTAAGGTCCCACATTTTCTATGACATTAACTGGCTAACTCTGAGCTACAAACTATCACTGATATTATCATCAACAAACGTAACTTGTTAACCTTTGAAATATTCCCTTATTGTAAATTTAGAACAACATATATAAGCGAACAATATTGTTTTCGGTTAGATCCTTTTTTATGCATTATGTATAATAAGCATTTGATAGTTTCAATGGCCTGAAGTTATAAAACGTGAATACTGGTATTGCATGAAGACGAAAGAGTATGTTCATGTTTTAAAATTAGGCTTGAGAAGAAAGAAGTCTGAATACTAGCTTGCAGTAATAAGTTAAATCAGACTGTTCATGTTTTTCAGAGTAAATCGAAGTTTACCATACCTATCCTCATTTATAAATAAAGTTGTGTTCTCTCCAAGGTTTTGACGACAACCCTATAATTAGACTGGCCATTAGGCAGCTATTAATAATGATAAATTCCCTTAATAAAATGTTCAGATTTTTTTGATTTCACTATACAATGCAATTCCTGCTTCCATTTGTGGGCATTAGAATTCATTTTATCCTAAATCGCCAGATGTCAATATAAGTACCGCAACAGATAAACTCTGTAAACCATCCATGAAATTCATTGCTTGTGTGCCACTAGTCTTGTGCATTTCTGCGTTTTCATGACAACTTAGCAATAATGATATAAGTTTAGTTGATTGAATCGAAAGTTATCCATCACAGTTCGAGGATATGAATCGGCACTTAGCTAAATAGTTTCGGCAGGTATTTCTCATAGAGATATCCAAATTAATAATTCTAAATTCGTCCTTTTTACATTACTCCATGTTTGCTTTTGTCTGGTAAAATTATAAACAAAGTATTATTTTGCAGATTGTTTTGGCGAGATGAGACAATCGAGTTTACTAAATTTTTTTGGTAAGGTGAGTTTACATCCTTTTCATTGTGGGTTGAATTTTTGTCAATAATTTCCTTATTTTATGTGGTATATTTACTATTCATCACCAGTAATTTGTTGATTTCGTGTTTCATGCAAATCACAGCTTGGTGCTTTCATCAAGTCTATTATTGATTTTGTAGCCGTGTTTTTCAATCTCTAAATCAAATGGATTATATACTTTTAATCCTGTAGGCTTATGGACGTATTAAGTGCCCAGTTCGAATTTATTAGATTATATAGTTTTAAAACGGTTGAGAGGATCGCTTAATCTTGTTAAACTATCTCATCTGTCATTTTAATACCTGTATGAATAAACAGCTACTACCTTGGTTTTATCCTTTTTATTATCATATTTAAACTCTTGAAAATGGACTACACACATTACTTGTATGAAGTTGTCAGTAGATTTGAATAGCCCTGTGAAGGCGAAGAACTCTGTAAAGTATTGTGTTTAAGACTGTAACGTTTCTCAAAGCTACTAAAATTTTTCTTGCTATTTTCACGATACGTTCAAGTCTCATTTACCCTTTTCAATGGTTTGACAGTTGACTTGGGGATTATTTTGATTTGCTTTGTGGTTGTAATAGTAGATAAAGTCAGCCTATTTATGTCAGCTCTTGTCTAATCAGCAGACAAGTTAAGTGAATATTAGTAAATAATCAGAATACAAACAAAAGTCATTGCCAGCTGGTTACAATGTAATGTTTTAGAGTTGAAGCTTGAGTTATAGACGGGTCTCCTGAATACGCATCGGCGATGATTATTCTAGAAGTTGGTATTGTTTAAAAATAGACCATGGTTTACACATGCATGCAGATAAAGAACCTGCTTATCCTGTCTGTGTGCAAAAACTACCCATTAACCAATCAAACGACTATGTGTTTACTTTCGTAACGTGCTTATTCAAGTATACAATTAATATCACTTCAGTTGAATGTGATTAGTTGTGATACTGATTACAGATCGTACCTGAAACAAATAATTTCCGTAGAGTGAGTTCATATGATGTTCGTGTTATTAGGACAGCAAACTCTATAAAAATCACTCTCAGAGTCGTAGTTTACCAAGTACCTCAATTATACCCTGCGTTACTACAGATATGATTTGTGTTGGATGATAACTTTCACTGTATAACTTGCGTAAGAACATCTTCCAAAACGTGGTTTAATGTTGCAAATCCTGAACTTGTTCACAGATACATATCCATTAGATTACACTTTTAGATAGGGTGATTTATTTACTGTCATGAATTTCTATACAACTCTAAAGCAAGTGAAAAAATAAATTTAGAAAATATGTAGAGTCAGAAAACACCACTGCAATCACTCAGTTATCAATGTAAAACTTTATTCTGTTACCACTGTATATATTTGTGTTTATTTGACTTATCGTATTATGATTTATGATGTTATAAAATCTATCGTCTTTATTTCAACCTCAAGTTAATTGTTTTTTGTTTGTTTGAATGAAATAGAAACCAGAAGTTTCATCAGTTACGTCCTTGCATGAATCGCCAAATAAAGTTGTTGGACTTATAGGTATACTACTGCTTATTTTTATTATCAGTTTTTTTCTTAGAATTTTTATCGCTTGTTGTTTCAACTTCCTAAATTAATGTAATCAAGTTTTGCAAAAGTTACTTAAGTATAACGATTTATGGTAACTCATTATTAAATGATCCGAATTCCAGAATACACGAACTTCCAGACCATCTTTTAGAAAGTCATCACCGAGAGTATGTTTATATTCTGGTCCATGTTTCCTTGTGTTGTGTAAAGTACATTTCATACTTACAATCTCAATGTTAATATTTTTATGATTTGTTTTTGTAGTAAGTAGTTTGTATTAAGTAAACATAATCCTATAGCAGATATATTTCACTCAATATCTTCACAAATTCGATAAATTGACAACCGTAGTTAATTTTCCATCCACAAATATTTCTAGTATTGTATTGGTGAATCAGAATTTGACCTTAGATTCATACTTATTTTTCTAATGTTCGTTTCTTTATCTGTAGAATCAAAGCACTCTAGTTGTGACGAAAGCTTCATTATTCCTGGAACACCCGATCCTACTAACAGAAATTTAGGAGCTTCGTTAAGTGGTAGAGCAGCTTTGGGAACTATACACATTGACAAGATTTCATCTCCAAAATTATGCAAACGGAAAGTTGTTGCTCGTCGTTCATCGCTTACAGTTCGTCGTGATGAGATTCTTCGATCAAAGCTGCATGATTTACTTTCTAGTGATCCCATCGATAAGAATGAAAATCAACAAATGTGTTCTAACAGACAAGCACAAATTTCTGCTAAGCTCCGTCGAGGAAACTATGACCTTTTAAATTATGCTCCTCAGGATCAAGTTGTAAAAACAACATCAAAGGAGAGTGAATTTAATGATGTAATATCGCATCGTTCTGCGATTACTAGTAACCGTGCTAAAAAGATGGTTTCCACGGCATTGCTTACTTGTTCAGCATCGAAGCGCAAAGCAACTGAAATTTC